TAGCATGGAAAGCTTCGAGAACCCCTGATCTAATGTTATAGTTAAAGTAAGTAACTTTCTACAGAAATGTGTTCATCACTTACTTCAAAAAGAAAGTCTTACACTAAACTGGTAAGTTTTTTAATCATCTCAAGCTGTTTGCATGCACTAAAAATGAAACTTCTGAGCAGGAAAACCAACAGGTTGGTAAAAGCAGAAGGCATTTATCAGTAGATTGGTGCTTACCACAGGCAGATACAATCATCCAGCTTGAAAATTGAGTAGAAAAACACTTGGGTGAACTTATATGAACCTGTAAAAATGAGCTTCAAAACATGGTAACCTACAAAACAACGAGATACATGAWGATCACGATTTAAATACCCATGGACTGTGTACTTTGCATGTTACTATCACTTTGATTTAATGTGACAATTTTTACTTAATATTCACACTGGAAGGCTTTTGTGTGTTCAGTTCTGGTCCTGATCACAATCTAAACCAATTATAGAAAAGACTTAACTTGATAAAAAAAATTCATCAAACATTGGTATATGCATCAAAGTTGTGTGTATTTGGTGTGAGCTCTAAAAGTTACAAGCATATAGACACATCCTTAAAGCAGCCGGTGAGGCTTCAAACACACAAAGATTTTCAGATTTTGTCTTTATCCCAGTCTGACCTTTTCAATCAAGCTTGGTGTTTTTGGGTTTGAAACAAACAACTTGTTTAAAACTCCCCTGGTAAAGATCAAACTACACTGCTAAGCTAATCCTGTCAGTTCATAGTAAAAGTGGGCACTGAGCTCATGGTTTGTTGTTAGCCTAAACTACGTCCAATTCCAAAACATAAATTCTCCAGTGACAGAAGATAAAAATACATTYAAGGCCATGATTGTTTCGAAAGTTGTCAGGAAGTGTGCCCAGGGAAGGCCTGTTTGACAGACAGTTCTGTGCCTGCGGTTGGTTTGTGGAGGAAACCCAGAGACAGATCAGCTCAGTGCAGCTGGGCAGATCAGTGTTCCTGAACGCTTCAAGGCCCCACGGCATTTAAACCAGCACTTACGTTTAAGCGAGCTAAAAAAATTTAAATTAAAAAAAACTTTTAAGGGCCTGGTGTTTTTTTTTATTTAGAAGGAATGCATATCAGCTTTATTGCCAGAGTTTTAAAACTAAAATTATCTAATACTGAGAAGGGATGAGGAGGGACTTATAGTCATTTTGTATGAGGTGCCAAGTGTAAAATGAAATATGTAAAAAAAAGTCACTAACATATTTTTATTATTTAGCTCCCATGTTGAGTGTAAAATTGTAGTTAAAAAAATTTCCACTGACATTTTATTGCCACACACACACACACATACACACACACACACACACACATGTGTTTTTCTGGCCTGGATTTGTTGTATTTGCGACAGCTGAAAACTGTTCTCCTCCCCCACT